CTCTGACTGGGTAAGTTTTACTTGTTTTTTACCTTGTTTTTACAGGGCTCTTTCATACCTTACAGGATTCTGCTCAGTAGAAAGTGTTGCCTACCATGGTATATTTAAACAAAATCCACACATTGTAGGGCCATCCTGGCCTGTTATAGCTCTCACTCATGAGATTGGATGTTCCACAGAACTGCTAGAGGTATCCTTTTGGTGTTCATTGTCTGAATTCCTGGTGCCACCTTGTATGGTTTGATGAGCCCTAGCTACACGAAACATATGGCACTTCAGAAAGCCTGTTGCAAATGTTGGATTGTGCTTTTATCTTCTACCCTGAGTGAAGCATTTATCTTGGTACAGATGAGGTGCAGTCTCTCATGAGTGTGCCCCTATACTTTTTCAAGATATAGGGTGTCAAACTCAATGGGTTCTCTTGGAGCACTTCCTGAAGGGGTCTCATCCAGGTATAAATTTGCAACGGTCCGTTCACCACTTGAAAGTGCAATTCTTCCTATGTGTGAGAAGAGGTTACATATCATATTGGAAGTTAACATTTTCCAACATTGAAACTATTTCTGATAGATACTCACCTCCTATCACCCTTCATCTCCACTTTTGGGGCATTTCATTATATTTTCTAATCTTGAAGTGATGATTAAACAATCAGTATGGTGGGAGTCAGCTGTGCTATGAGTTTTGTCACACTTTTATTGGTGGAGGATTGCAAGTAACAATGTAACAGTATCATGTGGAAACATGAGTTTAGGTGGCAAGTGAAAAAAGTTTGTATGTAGGGGCAGCACGGAATCAAGATAACGTATATATGAGCAGAAGTGAGTATCTATCAAAAATACATTTGTGATGTTGGAAAATGTTAAATTTCAATGGGTTCTAGCAATCTTGGGAATATCTGGACCAGTCCAGTTATGAAACTGCAGCTGACCACGATAAAGTAGCAGAAGCCTTAAACAAAGATAAGGACAGTGTCATTGAGTTTGCTACAAGACAACTTCATGTTAGACAACCTAGAGACAATTATCAAGAACTTCTTGAACTAGCCATATCCTTTCTTGGTAGCATTTCCCCTTGTGGAGAGGGATTTGTAGCACCTGGAGGACTGCATTATGTACAAGGAATGATCAAGGCATTATATGTCTTCAAGATCTGGATGTTTATGGAACAGTGTAATCTTACTGATGATGAGGAAAGAGGACTCCATGGCATCTGCATCTTTGTTGTTTGAATCTGTCTTAGGGCATGGTTTACTCCCACTGATGCCATTTCTACAATGTCTTGTTAAGTATAAGAAGGAGAATTCTGCTCTTTCAAAATCTTCATATCAAAAGTTTGCTGGACATCTATGACATATCATTGAAGAACTCTCTGGTTTGTAATTCTTTGATTTGGCTGTACCTACATAGACAAAGCAAGCAATGATAAAGGCATTAAATGAGAAGGAAGGTATGGATGAACCTACAAAGCACATCCAGCTGGATATCAAGAAATCTAATGACATGTCAATTAAAGATTTCATCACAAAGAACACAACAGTTTTCTTCAGGTGCATTAAAATTGTATATAAAATTTTCAATTATGACCCAGAGTCATGGGAGCTCAGAGAGGGCTACACTTGAATGTGGTAAATGACAATGTTGAAAGGAGTGTGGACATTATTAAGGATTATTATAGCATCATAACAAAGAAGGAACAGAAAAAATTCCTTCTTCAACTTGTATAGGATCACATAAGATGCTTTCCTAACAGCAAAAAGGAAACAATAACAATACAAAAGTGATTAACCACATCAAAATCATATAATTATACTATTGTACATGCAAAAAAATAATAATATACTTTAGATAAATCATTTATAGTCCATAATAAATATGTTTTTGTACCACATAGTTCATACAGTACAGCTCATTGCAGTCTAGAACTCGAACCTCATTGAACAACCTCTAAATATGGTCCAACATGGATGAAATTTGACATTTAATGATTTTTTTGTACATTGGAAGAAAACTAGGGGTGAGAAGTTTAGAATTTTTAACCTTAAATTTTACCCACAAATAAGAACCACCCTAATATACACGGCGTGGTCACAAGTAAATAGACATCACCTTTTCAGAAAAAATTAAATTTTTCAGTCATATTCACATGAATTGATATATTTATAATTTAATTAATATCTAGTAGATCTTCCTTTCACTTTGTGGAGTTCGTT